GACTGACATTGCTCATTGTCACCTCATTCATCGCCGTTTTAGATCTACCTTTTCAGTTTTTGTTCCTTGTGTGCAAACAACGAGAACGACTTCATCGAGTCCTTTATTAAGGATGACATTTTGCTATTTTGATCTTCTTCTCGTCTCTATGGAGCCATTTTGCTGGATAATTTGTCGCTATGTTCTTGGAGGTTAGATTTCGCAGAGTTCTTTTATAGATTTCATCTTGTACACATTGATGGTGTTCAAATCGACAAGGAAAATCATCATTCGAACACGAAAAAATTTAGGTTTTTTAGTTTTGTTCATGTACACCATGTCTTTTTTGGGTATAAGGCGCGTTTTCCACACAATGTTGTACCAATTCACTAGCCCACATCAAAAGAGTCGTCACTTAATTTTTATAGAAAATTAAGAAACTTTTAACAATGAAAACTGAGTAAATGATCGATCCACAACAACCAAAAACATTCCAAGTTCGGGAACTTAGGTACAAGAGGGGAATGTCATTAATTGATGCACCCCCTCTCGCCCAATCAAAGATTGGCCTCTATTAATATTCTATTTTATGAGATTTAACGATTAATTGTTCCACAAAATCCATTATTAGCCCTAAAGCTAAAACTAGGTGATTTGAATAATAAAAACATCACTTAACTTGGATTCATGAATAAAACCACATATTTTTTTTATATAAAATAAGGATTTTCCATGAAAAAGTAAAATTTTAATTCATGTGGTCATAAACACAATCCAAATTAAGTAATATTCATAAAATCATACAAAACACTCAATTTAGCACCAAAAGCATTTAACTCGCATTATTTTAAAAACAAAGCAAAAATCAAGTAATATGCTATGAAAGATGAAGACTACCTAGATCCCACCGCAAAGTGTCCAACATGCATAATATGGATTAAATAGTATATATGACCTAAATATGCAACTAAACATACAACGTACAAACCTAAACCCGGTTTAAGGCTACTAACATGATTTCATGCACATAAAGCAACTAACATATAAAATAAAAACATGTTGAATATTACAAAATGATTAAATCGGGCTATATGCATGTTTATATTATGAATAAATTAACCTAACACATGCAATAAACATACATTAACTAAAACATGCAAATAATCTAACCTACATGATGCTTATGCTAAACTAACAACCTAAACATGATTACATAATAAAAATATGATTAAAAAGGTATTGGAATTAAATAAATAGAAGCCCTTACTTGCTGGTTTGAATCAAACCAAAAAGAACGCAAGAAAAGGTGAGAAAATAGAAGATTTATTTGCTTTCAAACTTCCCTCAAGCTTTGATTCTAATTTAGCTCTCTTTTCTCAAAACCTGGATGCACTCTTACTTGTTAAAGCTACTGTAGGGTTGTATGGTTTTCGGATTTAGGGTTAAGGTGGCAAGGTTTCATTCTTAAACTCACTAAAAGCTCTCGAAATTGCTTAAGTGTTGGTCTTCTAAAAGAGGTGGGTAAGGGCTCCTTTTATAGACAAAGAGGAGCCTTGGGGGACAACCTAGGTCATGCTAGGGTTGCCCCATCGCTTCTTCTTAGCGGCTCCCTACAAAAATGCACCAATCGTCCAATTTGGATTATGGGCGTCAGGTGAATGTGCAAGTGCACCAAGATGGTACAAGGCGCACAACGCACATGTGGGCGCACGTTCTATCTTAGTATCTAGGTGTCAACCCATATACCTAGGTGTGAGGTTTCATGCCTTTGGACCTTCTTATTGCCTGAGTGGGTCCGATTGACTCTCAATTGACGGTTTTATGTAAAATTGATAAATGGTTTTGAAAAATGTTCATCAATTCAAACTCAACCAAACCTTTCTCTCTCCCTTCCTCCTAAGTGGGACCAAAGAGTTAAGTTTTGGATAAAAATGGATTCAGGAGTAAAATGGTCATTTTTACAAAAACATGGTTTTGGCTTAAAATGGAGTGATATTGCAGTTCACAACAACATTAAATATCTTCAGGGATGAGATAATTATCATTTCATCATCATGAAGCTTTCAAGCACCCAAAGTCTTAGGGTTAGTCAAAATAGGGTATCCACAGTCACTACCAGACCTTCCCTATCCAATGTCGCGTTACTACCATCACTAGCAACCCCTCATTTACAACTTCCTCATTCTTCTTCTTCTTCTTCTTCATACCTTACTCATCGCCACCACAGCCATCGCCGCCACACTGTCTTTTTTTCTTCTCTGCAACTTACTCCATTGTCGCGACCTCTTCTCATCGCTAACCCCGCATCTTATCCCATTCTTGTTCTTGTTCTTCTTCTCATTCTTCACACTTCACTCGTTGCCACAGCCATGCCTCATTCTTTTCTTCTTTGCTACTTTCTCCATTGCCGTGATCTCAGCATACAATTAAGAGGGTACAGTGGTTGTCCGAAAGCAGCAGTGGCAAAAAAGAAGGGTCTGCTGGCAATGGAGATCGCAAGAAATGTGTGGGCTAAAATTGGATTAATTAAAGTGTTTGGGGTGTTCAACAAAAAAAATGTCAAAATTCAAAACTAAGGTTGGGGTGTTAAAAGAAATTGGGTGCCCAACCAAATTTTTGGGATGCATCTAAAGCTACCCTTTTATCTCTTTGTAAAATTACTATTAAGGACAAAAAGCCCCAAACTTTTCCCTTTATATTTCTTTTTGCACTCTTTCATCTTTCTTTTCACTACACACTACCACCACCACCCTTCTCTTCCACTGAACACCACCACCTTTTCTCCAATCTCTCTTTCAATCTATCTACAAATTTAAATACTTCTAACTTAAAGAATATATACATCTACACACATGAATAACAACAAACAAAAGAAAGTGCACTGTTAAACATTCCGTCCAACTTAACAAGTGTGAAACATGTAGCATACATAAGGGGGTTATATGCTCATTTTCAAATTTCAATGGGGTAAATCACACATGGAATAAAGCACAAGGAGTTAAAGTGCACTTTATTTTCTAAACAAATAATGAAAGTATCTATAATTCACACACTTAAGTTACTTATATATAAGAGTATTTTAGTCTTTTTCACTAAATCACTAATGGTCCTAATGGTGCATTTCGATCCACACACCACAATAGGGTTATGTGATCATTTCTAAACGTTAGGGTGGTAAATCGCACATGACCCAAATCACAAGGGGGTAAAGTGAAGTTTACCCTAAAATGTATATATAATCATTATAAATAAATAATATATAAGATTTTTGTATTTAGAAAAATGTTTGGATGTAATTTTCAATCATTTTGGTATAGTTTCGAGTTATTTGTAAAAAGTGAGTTCGAAACTCCTTCGGCTCTAGTTCATTAAACAAATTGAGATTGTTCAATTTTTAGTAGTTGAGCAATTAAATTTGTTCGAACTTCTATGGTCGAGCATGAATAATTAATCAATTTTGGCTCGTTTGGTGAGACACGACTGAACAAACTTGATTTGTTTGGGCATTTCCAACCGAACAAGCCTATTTGTTTGGCCGTGTTCCATTGAACAAACAAAATTTATTTGGCTTTGGTTTATAGAACAAAACTCAAACACTGAGAAAAAATTGCGAAAGTGGTGGTTTTGGAGGAGGTTGCGGAGTGATGATTGCGGTGAAAAGGGTTGTGAGGTAGTGCTCGAAGGCGGCATCGACGGTTGTAGTAGTTGAAGATGAAGGAGTTAGAGTTTGACAGATTTTGAGTGTAAGGGAAGAAAGGAGGTTAGGGGTGAGAGTATAGGTAGAATTAAAGAGTATGTAAAGAGGTGAAATAATATTTTTGAATTTTTTAGGAAAGTGTAATTAGAAAAACAGTGTAATAAGATAGAATTACCTTTAATGTTATTTGAAAAAAAAAAAGTGAATTTGTTTTTGATTTTTTTTAACAAAAAATAATATATATTTTTTATATTTTACATAAAAAATATTTTCAAAATCTTAAAAAAAAATTTAAATAAAAAAATTGTTTTTATCAATAATTATTGTTTTTAATTAAATTTTTAAAAAAAAAGTTTGATTATGAGTTTTGAATAAAATTTTGAGTTGTGTGTTTGTTATAAGTTATAAGTTTTTTTGAATCAAATAACTTTTATAATTTAAAAATTCATAAAAAAGAAAAACTCAATTCAATTTTTTTTTTTAAAAACTCATAATCAAATAAATTTTATCTTTTCAAATCATAATTTAAAACCTCATAAATTCAACTCCACACATAAATCATAATTTTAAAATCCTACTAAAGATTTGTGTGGACCTTTGATCATCCCAAACAACCAGATCATCTTATTTAAACACTGCCAAAATTTGGGGGGGTTTGGGAACTTAGTGTTTGTTTGGTTTGTTTTTGGAAGAGTTGTTTTTGAAAAAATTTGGGAGAGTTATTTTAGAAAGTTTTTTGGTTTGTTTGGTTGTATATTTTGAGAGAAAAATTTTTTATGAGAGTTTGGGATGATTTGATATTTTGGAAGAATTGAATAGATGTGTGTGAGAGAAAAAATAATTGAGAAGGAGAGATGAGAGAGAAAAAGTGATTGATTGATGTGTAAGAGAAAGAAGTGATTTTGAAAATTTTTTGAGAAAAATCTCAAACCAAACAATTTTTTAGAATTTTTTTTCTAAAACTCAAACCAAACAAGCCCTTAGTTTTTGGTTTTTTTTTTCACTACAAGACAAATGTTTTACAAAATAAAAAAAAACAAATCCAAACAAAATATCGCATCAAACCCCATAATCATTTTACTTTTTCTCTTATAAATATCACATTCAACCATAAAAAAACCCAATTAACTTATCAAATACAAAAAAAAATTCTCTAATAATAATATCTACAACTAAAAAAAAACCTATTTCCCAAACAACCACCATTGATTTTTTCACTTGGGGTGGGTGAGCATGGAATTTGAAAGTAGGCAATTTGAGCTGGTTCCCTCCATTTGCGTATTAGTTCAAAATTTCAAATACATAACGTCTAACGCACTGCCACTGCCAGAACCCCCAACCCAACCCCCCTCTCTCCTTCATCATCATCATCATCATCATCATCATCTCTACACTACAGCAATTACCCAAATACTCAATTCAATTGTGTGCTTTCCTTGGTCATACATGGCCCAGAAAACGTATGTGGTGTTTCAGCCTCCTCATCACCACAACAACGACAATGACGACGACGATTTCCAAGATTCCTGCAGATCATCTCTACCACCTAAACCCCGGCCACAATCTCAGCCTCTGAAACCCTCCCCTTCCGCTAATACTCTTCGCCCATCCAAGAAACCCAAACCCCCCTTGGGTTTGGGATCCTCTTTTCCCTCAAAACCTGCAACAACTCCCCAACATTTTGAACCAGATTTCACTACCAACCATGCTTTTCCTTCCCAAGAAGAGGATTGCTCCTTGGATTCCATCGACTCAACCCTAGGTTCCGGGAATCCTCCTCATAATACTGTTGTTTCCATTGCCCGGGATTCTGCCTTTTCGGACCTGAATCGGAAAGGGGTTTATTCATCCAATTCATTGGAGTCTAGGTTACTCACCTCTATAGTCAATCCTGCTCCCTCTGATTATTCTGATAATAATGACAGCTTGGACAATGGTAACAACTCCTCTGATGAGTTTGAGCCTTGCACACAGCTTGATGTGTTGATTAAGTTATGTTCTGACGAAAATGAGCAAGATGGTCACTCCAATGGGATTGACTTTGCTCATCACCAAGAACACTGTTTCAATAATAGTCCTGTTTGTTGTCCCCTTTGTGGTAATGACATCTCAGATTTGACCGATGAATTACGACAGGTTCATACTAACGACTGCCTTGACAAAGACGAGACCACTCTAAATGTAATCCCCTTTATTTTGATTCGGTTTAAAACACACACACAATTGTTATTGCTTGACTGCTTTCTTGTGGATACTTGTTGGTGACAAATATACCTATGCATAGAGTTTTATGGCATGTTAATTTCAAAATTTGTTATTTCTGGATAAGTCAACCATTGTAATGGGGATGACACCTTGGCTGATTCTAGTTTACTTCCAAAGCAACCAACTATGTAATTTGTATCAACTGAAAATTCATTAATATCTTGTCTTTCCTGGTGGGTATGTTGGAATTTTTAACTCTCAACCACATGGCTGTACAAATTGCTATGCAATTCAGGTAAAGTTCAAGCTCTTCCCAAAGTTCTTTGTTTCGGAGCCTCACTTTACATTTAAGTTATGATTGTCGAGGACAATATTGGTGGTCTACACCATTGTACTTACCCAATAATAATACTGACTTCTTTGGTCTTTGGTGTGTTATTTCCTTATGTTCAAAAGTCTGTGTGTGGGTTTGGATTTCCTTGGCCATTGGTGTGGATGCATGTGTGTTATTTCCTTACTAAGAAAAATGAGATTCTTTGGATTTGCTAAGAGAATTGTATGAGATATGATAAGCTAGTATCTAATTGTAAATTTTGTAATGAAGTTCTAGGTTCTTTCTTGCAGTTGGTTTGTCCCAATGAGGATGTACAACCTCGGTGTTATGGACAAGTTGTTGATGGCTCTCCTATTAAATCTCCTCGGCAAATTGCTGATATCTCTCCTGTTCTGGACTGGCTACGCGGTCTGGGTCTAGCTAGATACGAAGAGATTTTTGTTCAGGAAGAGATCGATTGGGACACTTTACAGTGGCTGACAGAAGAGGTATGCTTCATGAAACTAAATTTGACCAGGACATGAATCCTCAACTTAGAAAAAAGGATTTTATTATATTACATTATATTTTTGTGGAAGTAGAAAGGAAAAGAATTTTGCTCCAGATCTGCCACAGAGGGCTACTGGTGTTGCTATCACTGCTATAACCTAATACTCTAAGCCTGTAGTGCATCATGCATTCTTGTTAACTGTACTTCTTTATAAAGGAATTAGTCCATAAAACAAGGTCCTTCTTGGTAATCATCCTCAAAACTGTTTTCTGTTCTCGAAAGTAGGATAAAATCAAATGATAAAAGTGTGGAAAGAATTGTATTATTGATCTCAATGAAAGTTCAGTACACAAGAGTTGCAAATGTAGGGAATACACCTGCAGAAGTCTGTTTCCAATCTTATACTACCACTTGCTCAGCTGACTCTAACTAACCATATCCTAACTGTTAATTGTATTAAACTAGTCTGCTATATAACTACTGATGCTTCTAGAAGAAGCTGAGCTGGATTCTCCTTGATCTCCTGAGCTGTTTCAGCTCTTGATGCTGCAGCTACTGAATTGAGATCAACTAGACTGAGATGCTTTTCTGCAGCTATTGCTATTGCTGCTGCTGTTTCTGTTAGACTGAGCTGATTCATGACCTCGTGACACTATCTTCTCAAAAGAAAATGTGTTTGGTGTGGAAGTGTTTCAGAGAACTGTCTTGAACAAAATTTGTTGAAAACTAAAGCATCTGTAGGCAACAATTTAAAACTGTTTTCCAAGTTAAAAATTTGGATTCATGGAAAATGAAAACAATTTGAAATGATGGTCTTGTCAAACTTTCAACTGTTTGAATCTCTAAAAAATTGAAAAGTGAAAGATGGAAACAAAGATGAAGTCAATGTGAACGATACTAAATAGGAAGGTTGTGAGGATATAATTTAGTTTGCACTGGAATGTAAACAGGGAAATTTATATCAATGTAGTTTGGATGCATATCTGTATAGACTGTGTACATGTGGTGTGCATGTGTGCCCGTATGAGGGCAAACTGGACCTGAGACACTTAGTTGCTGTCTACTGCGACCGGTGCTGAAATGTTGAATCTGACCTATTCGAACTATGAGTAGCTTTGGTCAAGGTTGTATGTAAAGAATTTAGGTTTGGGATGAATAATTGCACTCTGACCTGAGGTTGGTCCTGGCTAGGGATGAGGCCTTGTGTATCACCAACTCTCTTTTGCCTAATGTCATGTATAAGTATATTATTGTGAGTAGTTTACATCTGATATACTTATATGAAATATGCAAAATAAGTTATAAAACTGTCTCCAATTTGATTATTATTTTATTACCATTGTTATTACGCAGTTATCTTTGTGAAAGTTATTTTATTTTTCTGATTTGAAATATTTAGAGCTTCTCTCTCTAGCTGCTTCTCTCTCTGTGAGATCTCTCCTGATATGAAGTGTAAGTTTCATTTTCTTCTGAGATTCAATGGCAAATCAATGATCTGCTGCTAGTTCTGTGCAGACATTTAAGGTTGCAAATTTTTTTTATTGCATACAATAGGTAATTATGGAAGTGAAAACTAGTTTCAGTCGATATTAGAAATCTGGTAATCAGAGCACTCAACAAACTTTGGCTCCTTTTCTATCTATCCTTAGAAGTAGGGAGAGCGAAGGAAGAAACAAGTTGTAGCAGATGATGCTGAACCCTGTTTTGTTGCCGAGCTCAGCTGTTGAGATTGAAGGATTGCATGGATCAGATTTGAGTACATAGCAAAATGAACCTTGATGAACATGATTGATATCCTGAAGCATGCTTCGATTGAATGATCAAGTAAGGAACAAGAATATGATTCAGTAGAAATCAAGGATGGTCCTGCAGTGAGGCAAATTGCTAGAATGCATAATGAAATTTTGCTTCTTTGAAGTGAATGGGAACTTTGAAGTGAATGGGAAATTAAGAATAAGCTTCTAAACAATAAAGAGTTGACTTGTGATCTTAGAAGGTGAACTGGATACTTGAGAACAGAGCATTTGGAAACAATAATAAGAATGGAACGGAATCTCACCAGATTTGGAAGCCTAAAGAACATTTGAAAACCTGGGGAAGATGATGGGGTTGCAGAACTCCACTGTACAGAGATTGAAAAAAAAGAAATATGTCAAGCAAGCCTATTGCTTGGAAAGATTTAGTCAGTTCAGTCGAGTATCAGTTAAAACAAATGCAATTCAATTATTGTTATCCTCCTTAGCTCCTTTTATGAAGAACAATAAAGTTGTGGTGAATCCTCCTCAAGAAAATAGAAACTGAGGGAATTCAAAATTGGAAGCAATGGTTAATATGCTATTTCATTGCTAAAAAAACTACCCTTCTTTACCGTGAAGACCATTGCAAGCAGAATTGGGGTTGGATTTGGATTAACTGAAATTTTACCCAATGAAATTGTTCAAATTTAATCAGGAAGGTTCTCAGAGACATCCTGGAATCTGGACCATGGCATTTTGCTGGGAGACTCTTGATATTGAAGAGATGGTATCCACAGATGGGAATCTTGAAGGGAAGTTAAGTTTACCAATATGGGTCCAGTTCTAAAATATTCCTTTTGAATATTGGATTGGACTGAGCAAGGCTTAAGCTATATAGCAAGTGCACATGTTTCAGCCATTTCTTGTACATATATTGTTGCCATTGCAGATTCTACCCACTGCAAAGACTGATTTTGTTACCTGAGTGAGTTGTGGTACTGATTTTCTAGGTTGGGCTTGGCTTTTCACTGAAACAAATCGTTATATCTTGAAATATTTTGTTGCTGTTGCAGATCTTATGTCCATTACGTTTTAATGCTTTTGTTACTTGAACATGTTTTACCCATTATATTATTTTTCCGTCTCCTGCAGGATCTATTCAGCATAGGTGTTACTGCACTTGGTCCCAGGAAAAAGATTGTTCAATCCCTTAGTGAACTTAAAAAAGAAAGTTCCAAGACAACAGAGATAAGGACAAATGCCTCTAGAGATGTAACTGATGAGACTAGTAGAGTAGCTGTGAGCAAGTTGATTACAGATTATTTTCCTGGTTCTGTTGGTCACAGGAAAAAAGATTGCACTCCTTCTAGTGGACAACGTGAGATTGAAAAAAGTCACAAAGATGCTCGTCGTAAGCAGATTGTGGTGAAAAAGAATGTCATGAATGGAAAACTCAGGGACATTCCCCAGTGGTGCTGCATACCAGGAACACCATTTCGAGTGGTAAATGATGTTTCAACCATTTATAAATACTTGCTGTTTATTTTCTTACTTGTGTGGTTTTGGCAATTATTGATGATTGGATGATTTTCCTATATTTTGCAAAAACTGTGTGTTTTTACTTTCTCTTGAGAACTGGCAAAGTTGATAAAAGGGTGTTGGTTTAATTGTGGGTTAGTACATTTTTAGGATTCTTCTTTATTAAAGACTTACATGGGGTTTAGCGTGATGCCACTCTCATCATGGATCCTAACTCCCTAGTTTCTTTATTGTTTTCTTGTGCCATTGTTGGTTCGAATCAACGTTGGTGGCATTATGAGATGGGTTTCAGAATCAAATAGATTAAATATACAAGTTTTTCTGCATGCAATATATGCCTTTGGTTGCCATATTTACCATCATTCAGGCTCGTCAAATTTTATTTTGTTTTTGTCTCATAGATAATGTGTGAAACAAACAACTTGAATTCTATTGACTGCTTGCCACCCTACGTTACACGAACTCACCGGTTTAGGGTAGAGTACCCGTGTCGACACGACACAACACGACACGACACGACACGGGTACAAGTACGAAATCCAGCCGAGATATGGTAATAAGAAAGTGGATACGGCAAGCAAGATCAAGTAAGCATACTTGAAGTGCTTGATGGCCTTGATCGAGTTCGAAGTGCGAAGTCGAAGTGCAATCTCGATCTCATCTTCCTTACCCATACTCGTGTCGATCTCCTGTTCTTCTCTCTCTCGATCTCTCTTGTTCTTCGTCTCTCGATCTCCTTCTCTCTCTCTCTCCCCTCTTTGTAACACAACCTCTTTGACTACTCCACTCCTCTTTTTAATTTTGTTTTTTTTTTGTTTCTTAAACAATATCACACCATTACTCCACTACTTTTAACTTTTATTTAAATATAATGACTCTCTATCTCACACCCCACTATTATTTAAAGATAATATTGACTCTCTCTCTTTCTCAACCTATTGTTAGAATAGGAAACAAATTAGAATAGGAAATATGTGATTGTATTTTCTTGTTTATTCCTTTGATTGGTGTAATGGGTTGGCCCAGATGTTATGCCTTATGACACTCTTAAAATTACTCCATATTATTAATATAAAAGGGAATGAAGTCTAACTTATTCCCTAACTCTTTCTCTTCTCTAAACTTATATGTTATCAGAGCCAAAACCTTAGCCCATCCCTCCATTGCCTTTCTTCTCTTCTGTCAGAAGCCCATCTACAGTCCAATAGCCTAGTCGCCAGTCTACCCAGGCTTCCTAGGTCTTCGGCTCCTCATTTGGGCTCCCCGACAGCCTAGGTAGCTTTACTGAGTCTCTAAGGGCTTGTCAACAGTCCTTCTGACTGTCTAGGGGCCTGTCGGCAGTCCCCTTGGCCTTCGTGGCCCTTGTTGACAGCATCTCTGGTATGCGTGACTCTTGTCGGCACCTCTGAGCCTTGGTTTGACTTCTGCCTCTGGTTCTGCCTTCGTCTCTCCTTTCGTTTGTCTTGGTCGTTTGTATTGGTTGATTATTAAACACCTTTTTTATTCTTTTTTAAAACACAAAGAAAAAACAAAAAAACAAGAGACTACTTTTCTTCTTCTACTGTTAACTTCTTCTACGGATGAGTGTCCAGAGTCCCCCCCCTCTCCTAAGACTCTAGGTAATTCTGATTCTAGTGCTTTTATTCCTGCTTTTTCAGATCTTGATGTTCCCATTGCTAATAGGAAGGGGGTTAGGTCATGTACTCAGCATCCTATTAGTAATCATGCCTTTTATTCTTATCTGTCTTCCTCATATAAAGCTTTTTTGTCTAAAGTGTCTTCTGTGAGTCTACCTATCAATTTTTACGATGCTCTCTCTATTCCTGAGTGGAAACATGCCATGATGGAAGAGATGAGAGCTCTCAGCAAGAGTGGCACTTGGGAGTTAGTGGAGTTATCTAGAGGCAAAAATCCAGTTGGGTGTAAGTGGGTGTACACAGTAAAATACAAAGCAGATGGTTCCATAGAACGGTTCAAAGTAAGATTAGTTGCTAAGGGCTTTACCCAGACTTATGGGGTGGATTACCAGGAGACATTTGCACCGGTTGCTAAGATGAATTTTGTGAGCATCTTACTCTCTTGCTGCAAATTTGGATTGGCCACTTTATCAATTTGATGTAAAGAATGCCTTATGGAGACCTAGCAAAAGAGGTCTATATGGATATTCCTCCTGGTTTTGCGGATGCTAAGTCCAACGGTAAAGTATGCAGGTTTTGAAAGTCACTTTATGAGCTAAAGCAGTCTCCTAGGGCTTGGTTTGAAAAGTTTGCTCAAGTTATGCTAAAATATGGGTTCAAACAAAGTCAAGTTGATCACACTTGTTTGTGAATTACTCCTCACATGGTAAGACCATAGCTCTTATTATCTATGTTGATGATATTGTTTTGGCAGGAGACGATGTTGAGGAGATTCTTCATTTGAAAGAATACTTAGCCAAAGAGTTTGAAATCAAAGACTTAGGCTATTTGAAGTATTTTTTGGGCATTGAAGTAACTCGGTCCAAGGATGGCATCTTCATATGTTGGAGGAAGTATGTACTTGACTTGCTAAAGGAATCTGGAATGCTTGGAGGTAGACTATGTGATACATCTCTAGAACTGGGCCAGAAACTGAATAAGGATCAAGAGGGAGATCCAGTGGACAGGGGGAGATACTAGAGACTAGTGGGCAACCTCATATACTTATACCTGAAGTCTTCTTCTAGAAAGGGTCTCATTTTTTAAAACATGGCCATCTCAGTGTGGAGGCATTTACTAATGCAAATTGGGCTAGATCAATCACTGACAGACGATTAACTACTGGATATTGCACATTCGTTGGTGGCAACCTAGTCACATGGCGAAATAAGAAACAGAATGTGGTGGCTAGATCTAGTGCTGCGGCAAAATTCAGGGCTATGGCTCAGGGTGTATGTGAGTTACTATGGATTAAACTATTGTTGGGAGACTTGGGAATCTATCAAACTGACTCCATGAGACTATACTGTAACAACAAGGTCGCAATCAACATAGCTCATAACGTAGTTCAACATGATAGAACTAAGTATGTGGAGATTGATAGACACTTCGTCAAGGAAAAACTCACTAGTAGCATCATATGTATTCTATTTGTGAAGATCGGAGACCAACTAGTTGATGTTCTCACCAAGGGGCTAGGGAGCAAACCATTTCAAAGGCATTCTTAACAAGCTGGACATGAGAGATATTTTTACACCAGCTTGAGGGGGAGTGTTAAAATAAGAAATATGTGATTGTATTTTCTTCTTCTTTATTCCCTTGATTGGTGTAATAGGTTGGCCCATATATTATGCCTTATGGCACTCTTGTCATTACTCCATATTATTAATATAAAAGGGAATGAAGTCTAACTCATTCCCTAACTTTTTCTCTTCTCTAAACTTACACCTATTATTTTTAAAAAAATGACTTTATAAAGATAATGATTTTATTTAAAAATATTTTTATACTGTATTTAATTAATTAAATATTATTTAAAATTATTTTAATGTTGTATTTAATTAATTAAATATTTTTAATAAATATTTTTTTTAAAATAACTATTTACCGTATCCTCGTACTCGTATCCAAATTTGGGTCCATATCCCCGTATCTTCCATTTTCAGTTTTAAGGTGTTTGACCCCTAGATATGCACTCGCACTCGGTACTCGTACCCGAGTGTGTGTAACATAATTGCCACCTATATTTCTAAAAAAAATTTGAGCTTATGACTGCTAAACTATGAAGCACAAATATTCTAGAAGGGTGTCGTATCTGTATCTGTATTAGATATCGGTACTCACATATATGTATTTGATACTTCCTAAACGTATTGAATACTTGTAATTAATTTATTTAATTTTGAGTAGCAAATACTTTAGGTCACATATCCGAACTATTATAAAACTAAGATTGGGTTGTCCAACTTCATGCTCTCAATAAGAAAGGAAGATTTTTGTGGGATTGTCTCTTGGGTAATTTTTTGAGTTATTTGGTAGGAGCATAATACTTGGGTTTTTGTGGATAAGAGTGAGGATGTTGATTCTTTATGGGAGAAAGTTTGTCATTTGGCCTCTTTTTGGGTTTCAGTATCTTCTATTTTCAAGGAGATACCATGTTTTTATTTCTAGAGATTTGAGGGTGGTGTGTGATTTGATTTGTGTTGTGTCCCATATCCATATCCTTACTTTTTAGAAAGTAAGGATAAATAAAAAATATAAGATAAATTACACTTTCCCACTTAAAGTATTAGCTTCTTCTTCTTCCTCTTCTCCTTCTCCTCCTCCTCCTTTTTTTTTTCTCCTTTACCTTGACCCTTACAGATTATCTTTTCCCAATTTGGTCCTTAAACTATCTGATTATTTGCAACTTGTCCCAATTCCTAATGTCCAAATTTGTATTGAAAAATGCCATGTCAACTGCCATGAATTGCCATGTCAGTTACCGTGTATTATTTTAGCCGACCTATAATTATTTTCCCACATTGATTATTTAAGTATTGCATTTTTTCCCTATATAAATGAGTAAGATGAAGAAATGAAGAGAAAAAGAAAAAGGAAAGAGATGGAGAAAAAAGAAAAGAAAGAGAGAATGCAAAGAAAGAACGAGAGAAATGAAAAGCAAGAGAGAGAAAATGTCTTACAACTTTTTTGTTATTATAATAATATAGGTTCAACGAAGACATCTTTAATATAGCTCTAATGCCTTTAATTTTTTTTATTATTTTTTTGCATTAAAATAGGAAAAATCAAAATTTCATATCCCATATTTCTCACACACGAAGAATCTACTTTGAGGATTAGAATTTGTCTAGGATGTCTTGGGGTAAATAGGAAAAATCAGATAGCTTATGCATCAATTTCAGAAAAATATAATGCTTAAGGGGCCAATTTGGAAAAGTTAATTTTATTATATTTCCATATTAAATGCCACGTGATAGCTGACATGTGCCACATGGCAGCGGACGTGTCATTTTTTGTTATAAATTAGACGGACGCTGGGACTTGGGCCAAATTGGGAATAATTGCATAGTTTAAGGACAAAAATGGGAAAAATTGAACTTTAGTAAAGTAGGAATGAGCAATGTTGCCCAATAGAGAATAATTTTATCCAAGTATATAAACATTTGATTTAAACATGCATGACCTTTATTAATGCCTCATAATTTATTTGCATTTTAAAACTTATATATACTTATATATAGCAAATCACAAGCCACAATTAACCTTCACACTTTTCCCGTCCTCACACAGGTGGCATGTGGACGCTTCAAACCTTTCCACTTTCGTCGTCCTTACACGAATCGGCTAGTGGACGCCTCACAACATCCCCACATTCGCCGCCCTCACGCGGACCGAGCACGTGGGCACCTCACACACAATCCTATATTCGTTGTCCTCACATGAACCGGGCAAGTGGGCACCTCAAACACATTCCAAAAACATGAACATTTTTCACACAACACCCACAATCACAAGGATTCTCCAATTTTAATTATCAATTACCCATTTCATCAAATTCATGAACAATCCCTAGAGTTCATATGAAAATTTGGGGTTTTTCCGTACCAACATTTATTTTCCTTAGTCCAAGTGTATTTACTCCCTATTTCATAGTTGAAAGCATGATCCATCACCAATTTCCAAATAAATACCTTATCACACTAAACCTACATATATATATACATAATCCCATTCATCTCAATATTTCTATTTATCACAAGATTCACACCTATTTAGACCAAAACATAAATATACAAGGGTAAAGGTATTTCTACCTTAAGCAAAGAGCAAGTAGGCCAAGCTTTTAGGAGAATTCTTCTCAAAGATAAAATCCAATCGGTAGAGAGGATGATCTTCACGTGTACTTCTCTCCTTGCAAGTGATTTAGGGTTGGTTTGGCATGAATTATATAATCCATTTTTTTATTTTTTTTCCATCACATCACCTCTCTACTTTTCTGCACATCTTTTCGTAAAAAGACAAAAAGTGCACTTTTTTAGGACACCCCAAACCAACCCTTAGCCTAGATCTTAGAGAAATGAGAGAGATTTGGGGTAAGAAACTTAGGGTTTTTCGACACATGGTGTTTAATAGAGAGGAGATGTAAAAATGGAAAGAAAATGAGTAAAAGTCGACTTTTTAAGTCAGCTATCCCGATAGACCGCTTGAGCGAACTTTCCATCACTCGAGCAAAGTACCAAAATACAAAGGGACTGCTCGAGCGGTAAATGTAAGGTCTCAAAAGTTTTGCAGAGGCACAGTGAAAGTACTGGGAGTTCACATTTTACGCTCGAGCGACCATTCCTTCGCTCGAGCGGTCTCACCTGCAAACCTGTGAGATACTGGGAGTTGCAAATCTCCGCTCGAGCGACCAAAAGATTGCTCGAGCGGTCCTCCAAAAACAGCTGTTATATCTACAAATAAAAGTAAAGTGGTCTCTAGTATCTCTTAAACTATCTTAAACTAATAGCGAATTTCTATTGAGCTTAGGTATAACAAAATGTTAAAAATTATAAAATATATATTTTTACAAAGGTATCCAAGCCGTACCACCTTATTTTTTTAGGTTTTGTCGTATCACCGTATTTGTATAGTATCATATTAGTATCTATCTATTCGTATATGTTCTTCATAGCCGCTAAGTATAAAGGCTCTGCTTGCTTATTTTCTTTTTCTCATTACTCTTTTCTTTTAATCCTCACGATGTCATTTTAATTTTTAGTAATTCCTTTTATTTTTATTTTTTGCAGGATGCATTCAAATATCTTAGAAGAGATTGTTCCCATTGGTTTCTCACTCACTTTCATATGGACCGTAAGTTCAATTTAACTCATTAATGTTAAAGCCAAATTGTCGAAGTCAATTAAAATATATTCTAATACAAGGGCGTGTACTACTAAATTCTATGAGTTGCTTATTAGCATATGTTCACAAGTCTACCAGGGCGTATGTCTTGAGTCTTGACTAGTATCTAATTGTTTGATAGATTTCATTTTGTTCTATTTTGTTGTTGTAGTTATTTCCTCCTTTTCAACTTGGAGGTTTCAGTTATCCTTTCCTTCTATTATGAATTATGTTTATTAGGCTGAAGGGTAATACTTAAATTTGATCATCATTAATATAAATATGTAAGATGAAGGAAGAGAACCCTTATTTTGGATTCTCTTCCTTTAGCCATTGTTCCTCTCTATTTTTTGCATCCTCGTTCTTCTTATTCCTCTTCTTCTTTCTTCTGCTGTTCTTAGTTTATTAATTTAACTTGGTATCTGGATTTACAGCGAGATCCCTCAAAAATAAAGTTCTGTATTTGTGTTTGTTTTCTTAGGTTTTGGCCTTTGGAATGTAAAAAACCATACCAGTATCCTTCTCCTTCTTCTCCAATCTCTTTCTTTGGGCTATACACATCTGAAATGTTCAATAAATTATTTGCTTATGTTGAATAAAGTATTTATGTTTTAAAATGTTCAATATTTCATTTAGCTTATGCTGAACCCTAAATTATTTGCCTTTATGCCTTATATTAAAGCCTACAAGGTGTGCCTTACTTCGATGAAACCTGCACCTCGCCTTGCGCTTTGCACCTTGTGCTAGGCCTCAAGAGATCTTGGCGCCTCTGTGCGTGATGCAGGACAAATAAGGACAGTGCTGGAATTTCAAAACAGGTTATTTGATGGCCTAAACAGTGAATAATTTATGGTTTCAACAGTAAATTGAAGGCTAATAGGTAGGGGAAGGGATTAGGGTTGATTTGAGGGTGATTGGATGGAGTTTTGAGGTTGAAAAATGCACTTTTTGAGGGCTGTAAATAGTAATCCGATAATAGCAAATTGAAACATAAAAGAAGAAGATAGGTCTAGGCATTCCATAGGCATCACACCTAGGGTTTGATTGCATCACACCTAGGGTTTGATTGTTTCACACAATCCATAAAGAAGTTTCAAAACTTTTAACTTTTTATAAAATATCAACTCTATTGAATTATAAGCTTTACATGGCTATATAAGATCAAAAGATTTCCTAAACCAATTAGAACTAAAATAGGAAACTATCAAAATATCTTTGATTTTTAAAACTAATTTAAGATAAGAAACAAAAACAAAGACTAATTAAATAACTTGACTCACAAGACGACTCATGGGTGACCCCTACAACCCATGTAGGCAAATATAAAATTACCAAAATACCCCTTGCCTGAAAATCCTAGAAACATAAAAATAATCATAAAATAAAACTATAATAATATTAGAAACATGATTATGTATGGTTCCTATCGATTTCTCTTTGAAACCATTCCAATTTCCAAATATCGCTGCTTTTTTAAATTTACTCTTCTTTGAGCTTCTTATATTCCGCATCATATGGTTCCTATCGATTTCTCTTTGAAACCATTCTAATTTCTAAATATCACCGCTTCTTTAAATTTACTCTTCTTTGAGCTTCTTATATTCTGCATCAGTGCGCCTATCTCCTTTAATAACACTGGACCTTATGAATCCCATTAGAAAGTACTGAATTGCATTGCCATAACGACCCATTGAAGTCTAGTATCAGTTTTGCAGTCACACATGGAAATTAAATTGAAATTCCTGGTATAATTTCTCTTGAGAGTGGTTTTGTTCTGTTAGATGCTGGTTGTGTCTCTGTGTACATAATGAAAGTCTAAGGTCACCACTAACTGGCACCTGTTACATTAATTCACACCAAAATAAAATCCTTGGGCTGAACTGTTACAACTAGGGTCTAGTTTGTCAACTCTATTATACTTTGCTTTTGCTATAACATCATTCTGCCTTGTAATTCCAAAGCTCTTGGTTCTATTTGTTTTTGCAGATTATCAAGGTCTCACTAGGTCCTTTTCTCATGGGAAGATTTATTGCTCCCTTATCACGGCAAGGCTTGTAAATATGAAAATTGGGATCCCGTGGGACGAATTACAAGTTTTACCCCTCAACCAAAAGATTTGTATTGCTGGAATTGATGTGACATGCTTTGATGCAAACCACTGCCCAGGTTCAATCATATTACTATTTGAACCACCCAATGGTAAGGTGTGGATGGATGGAATTGACTTGGGACACTGTATCATTGTTTTGCTTTTATATCATCATCATTCTGAAATTGATCCTGCATTTTTTGTACACATCTAGGCTGTTCTACACACGGGGGATTTTCGGTTTTGTGAAGAAATGGCAAAGATACCTGTTTTGCAGATGTGTTCTGTCCAAACTCTCATACTTGATACTACCTACTGTAACCCTCAGGTAAATCTGTACATAGAAGAGTTGTTTCTCATCTTTAGACTTAGGGCTCCAACCAAACTAAGTGTGATTGCTGGAGATTTTCTAGGTTTTTGTCTCATCATTTTGGTGGCTCTGTATGCATTGTTATCATTGCACCCTCTAACGGGTAGGCTAGTTGGTCAGTGGGTTTGCTCTCCACATGTGCAAGTGCAACTCAAGTTCGACTCGTGTTTGCACTTCCCATTTGCCCAGATCATGCAATTAGGGGCGTCGCTTGATCCTCGAATTTGTGCTTCTGGGGTGAGTCCAAAGGATCCTCTGCCTAGGATACAAATCCGGTTATTAAAAAAAAAAAAATGTTTATCATTGCATTGAACTTGTTCAAAGTCACTTTCCAATTTCATAAGCCCAAATCCAACTTAAATAAGTTGGAACTGATGTATAATTTGTATATGTCTATCCATTAAATGAGTTTTTGTAGATATAATGTCACATCTCAATTTTACAAATCTTAAATTTAAATGATATGATCTGAATAACCAACCTTAATACGATATGAATAAATAAATAGACTAAAAGCGCTTTCTGAAGTTAACATACAAAGCACGAAGTTCTATTTAGTTAATAAACTTTAATTATACAAGTGACTTAAAATTTATATGGTACACATTTCTATGTCCAATGCACCATACATAGATACCAAAATAAAGCAAGTTATAGCCTCTATGGTGTACGTCCAAAATAGAGGGCATTCCCTCTTTACAACAAAAAGGGCCTCGGCCTACAAAAGTAAAAAGGGCCATGCCCTATACATAAATATAAACAAAAATAAGCCTCAATGCTTGTCATCATCTCGAATCATCATTGGGCTTGAGACCTGTCATCAATATTTGAAAATGGTTTTCAATAGAAGGAATGAACACAATGGTCCAGTAGAAAGTTTCTTTACTTAAAATGTATGAAGGTTTAGCGAATATGATTATGATGCGATAAAAAATAACATTTGACAAATTTAAACCATGGATTTTCTCAAATGTTTCTCAACTTCATAAATATAATTACTAACATTTTCATAATAATATATCATTCCAGGTGTTCTCAATTTTATTCAAAACATTTATGAAATTTTAATACAAAACAACACTTAACTGAATGAATCCCTAGGTGTTTGTATCTGTCAGTGATCTATCACAATAATCATTTAAACAAACTTTGCTTTACAGATTATTAACTGGAAGGAAATCGGTACTTACATGCACTGGTTTCCGGTCTTTCATCAAAGTTCTCAAGCCAATTTATTTCTCATCATTGATATCACTATACACTACTCGGATTCACTATAAACTTACGTTACACGGACTTGGGTGTGGGTATCGGGTGCGGGTGCATATTTACGAGTCGTATACTTCAAAACTAAATATTGAGGATATGTGAATGTGGATTCAAATTTAAATACAGGTACGGGATATGTTAAATAGTTATTTAAAAAAAAAGTTAAGAAATAATAGATTCGGTTAAAAAAAATAAAAGGAAATAAAAATTATATTAGATACAAAATAAATTATTAAAGTCCTATTTTAATATGAGCCTTTGATATATAATTATATTATTATATTATTTAATATGATATATTATATAACTTGTAATAGGATTTGAGACTTTTAATATGATATATTATTGAGAGGGGGAGATGATGGCATCGAGCGTGAGAGAAGAGAGACGAAGAGAATGATCGTGAAAGACGAAGAGACAGAAGAGGACAGATTGATATTTGAGAGTAGGCCAAGAAGGGCAGATCAAGACAGAGCAAAATCAAGTGAGAGAGAAAGAGACGGAGATCGAAGAAGATGAAAACCACACCTGAGATGAAGATCGAAGCCCTAATCTCCATTTTCGTGGCCCTAATCACAGGTATGCCATCTTTGTTCTTCGTTTTCCGCATCCACTTTCTGCATGTCATATCCCGACCGTATCCCGTACTCGTACCCGTGTAGTGTCATGTCATGTTGACACGGGTACTTCACCAAGTCTGACGAGTCCATGTAACATAGCTATAAACCACAATGTAATTCAATATTAACATATTCCAAAACGATACAATCTTCTTATTAAAAGAACAATTCTAACCAATATTTCCATCAATTCGCAATTAAATTTGTCTCAACTTACAATTTCACCAATTCAAAGATCACATGTAAGAGATTACAATTTCTTCTTTATGCAACACAATTATAATTTCCCCTTTAAACCACTTTCTTGTAATTAGTTCAATTAAATTGAAAAATTGCTAAAAATTTGGGATTCAACTCTTGTTCTACACATTAAAAACATTGTAGAATCCATTAGTTTAGAAATTTAGGGTTTAAGTGATATAATTTGGTATAAGTCTTCACATGCATGGGTTCAACATAAGGGGACTATTTGAATTTCCACAATTTAGCTTCAATTGAGTTATAATGATAGAAAATATGAAGAGAGAATGAAATGAGGAGGAAATAAAGGAAACCCTATGTAAGACCGTTTCTGTTCGTAACAAATGAGAAAGAAGAGGAAAAATGGGTATATTTACTTCAAGTCATGTGACACCATTTCCTTGCTCATGTACATGTGGCCACACAACCTCACTTGGCAACCTGCGGTCGCTTACGTTACACGACTCGTCAAATTTGGCAAAATACCTGTGTCGACACGACACGACACGACACGGGTATAGATACGGGATACGGCTAGGATATGGCACGGAGAAAGTGGATAAGGCAAACAAAGAAGAAAGATAGCACACCTGCGATTAGGGCTTCAATCTTTTTCTCAAGTGCGATTTTCATCTCTTCGATATCCCTCTCTCACTTGATTTTGCTCTGTCTCGATCTCCTCTTCTTGTCCTACTCTCGAATCTCAATCTTTCTTCTTCTGTCTCTCTCGAGCGTTCTCTCTCTTCTCCCATGCTTATATATATATATCAATAATATATCATATTAAAAGTCTTAAATCCTATCACTAAAGTTATATAATTTATCATATTAAATTATATAATTATATATCAAAGGCTCATATTAAATTGGGACTTTAATAATTTATATAATATATCATATTAAATAATATATATAATTTATTTTATACCTAATATAATTGTTATAATTTTTATTTTTTTAACAAAATCTATTATTTCTTAACTTTGTTTTAACTAATCTTTATATAATAAATATATTTAAAAATTAACTATTTAACATATCCCCATACGCGTATCTAAATTTAGATCCGTATCCACGTATCCTCAATTTTTAGTTTTAAAGTATCCGACCCTTAAATACACACTCGCACTCAATACCCACACCCGAGTCCATGTAACGTAGGCGGTCGCCCCTTATCACTGACAAACTAATTTTTGGGTCACTCAACTCCCAAATCGTGCCCTCGGGGCACCTTGAAACACAAACAAATATACACATCCAAAATTGGTATATAAACAGTGTGAGGTGCTAAACCCTCAACACCTAATCAAGTCAACTAACCAAAGATAAAGGGAAGTATTCAACTATGGAAATTCAGTTGGATCTAAAAGTTTGGTTAAAAGGTCGGTTACAACCCAAGTTATCACATGTAGCTTGTATAATAGGATTTAAATATTTTGAGCTTTCTTTGGGCTGCATCTACTGTCCACAGCTCTTTTTGGGGCTGTCCTGCTGTAGAACATACTTCTTTATTTTTATTTAGTCACACGCCATAAGTAGTGATCTAATTCTTGCCACAAAGAACAAAGGGAATGGAAGCAAGTTGCAATTGAGGAATCCCTCTATTTAGTGTTGTGAATTTGGCATTTCAAATCATAAATTTGTGCCATATTACCCTTCTGTGAATAAATTTGTGCAACTGCAACCCAAATCTCCTTGACAATATTCATAAACAAGTACCCATCACTTACATCTGCTTGCATAGTAGAGTTAAGTAGAAATGACATGACCATAGAGTTCTTTGTGTCCTATTCATCTTGTAGTGGATCATCAACGCTTGGTACCTCAAATTTTCTTATCAAGTATCCCATCTTTCTTTTAATTTTGTCCATCAAGTTTAATTGTGGTAACCTATAGGGTAGGGTTAAAAGAATGAAAATAATTATTTGTCTTACCAATCAATGAGGTAGATGCTATGTATATATAATATATTCATGATGCAATTTAGGAAACAATACATACAAGGTAAGATTTCTATAATCAAAATAATTCTTATTCTAATTTCCATATTCAAACATAATATTTTGATTTCCATATTCAATACTCCCCCTCAAGCTGGTGTGAAAATATTCAACAAACTTAGCTTGTCAATGGAAGACTGGAGCAAAGTCTGTCCCACAAATTTTGTAAACATAACTGCCAACTGCTAAGAAGAAGAGACAAAGGATGGACGCATAATGCCAGTCCAAACCTTTTCTCGAATGAAATGTATGTGAACCTTGATATGCTTGGTATGCTCATGAAGTACAAGATCGGAGGATAACATAATGACATATTTGTATCACAAAATAAAGAGGAACAAACAGTCTCCTCAAAACCTAACTCTGCCAGAATAGAACGAATCCAAAAAATCTCACATGTCCCATATGCCATAGCCTGATACTCAGCCTCTGCAGAAGATCTAGAAACCACCGCTTGCTTCTTACTTTTCCATGAGATAAGATGATCACCATAGAAAGTACAGAAGCCAGAAGTGGAACGCCGATCAGTCCTAGATCCTGCATAGTCTACATTGGTGAAACAGGAGAGCCCAGATTGGAGACCAGCGGTAAAGAACAATCCCAAGTCAAGAGGAGTTTGAAATACCTCAAAATATGATGAATCGCGTTAAGATGCTCTTTACGAGGTGCATGCATGAACTGACTCACAACACTAACTGCAAATGTCAAATCAAGTCTAGTGTTGGTCAAATAAATGAGGCGTCTAACAAGATGCTGATGCAAGCCTAGGTTATCCAGCAACTCACTAGACTCTGATGTGAGTTTGACATTAGGATCCATAGGAGTAGAA